TTTTTTTTTTTTTTTTAAGAACATAAGTGAAAATGAGAAATTTTGCCTTGGCAACTAGCAGAAATAAAATAAGGTTACTTTTGAGTATTTTACTTTTACTTTATTTCAGTTAATGTTTATATTTATAAGTAAAGTATAAGTAAAACTTTGCACTTTTTTACTGTAATAACCCTGAACCATGTATGTTGAACATCTTTTTTAAAAAGCAGTCTCTCTATTTTATTTACTCCCTAAAGCCATTTTTACTCTCATTTGGTCCTGCTGACCAAAGCTACTATTAGCCACTGCATACAGCAGCTCGGAGACAGGAGACTGGTTTCATTTCAGCTTCACCGAGGCTGAAATCTGAAGATTGGTGGTGAGGGAATCTCAAAAAAAAGCCTTGCTCATCCTCTTTCTACTGAGCCATTATCAAGGTGAGCTCACAAGCCCCAAAGCTCATCAGGTTTTAGTCACAGAGCTCCCAGTAAAACCACCACTTTGATTGCTGCTCGTCTGGAAACTTCCAAAGGACGGCTGACACCTTTACTGAGCGGCTTCAAAAAGAGATCAGAAGTCTGTGCTGGCATTCAGCCCATCCCTAACCACATTAAAACCGCAATTACCTGAGCAGACACCCGCGGGGGCTTCACCGGAGGAGCCTGGGAAGAAGCTGAGAGAAACACAGCAAAACACAAAGTCAAAAGACAGCAGAAGATGGAATATGGATGTGATCATTAAGCAGTGGCTACTGACTGAAATAAGAAAGATTAAAGGAAATGTTCAGGAATAGGCGCATCAACGCCAGTGTTGTTATTGTTAACTAAAAATGACAAATCATTTCGGTAACTGAAATCAAATAAAATGTCAATATTAAGATGAAAAACTTGATGAAAGTTATAAATGTTGCCTTGGGAACTAACTGAATAAATTAAGTTTAATATGAAATACTACAACTGAATAAATACAAATAAAAACATAATATATTATAAAAAAATGAAGATATATATTAATAAAAATGTATAATATAAATCAAAGCGAAAATAGAACTAGAAATATTAAAACATAATAATAATTAAAATGACAAAAGCACATGAAATAAAAAAAACAAAAATTAAAAATTAGCAGAGAGTAAGATTTTCAGTATATAACAAATCAAATTTAATGTTCATCCCTCAAGCCAAAAAAAAAAA